TGAATCTGTTTTCCAGTCGTTCCTGAACACTGCCTGTGACGGCTCACACACACATGATAAATGGTTGAGGAAAACAATAAACAATATGAATTCTGTCTCCTGATCTCAAGTCTTTTCATCTCCTTACTCATCCCTTTTCTCTTGTTCTGTTTGTCCTTTACTTTGTACTCTGCGCTCTATCTTTGTGTTTACTCTCCTGTGTTGTGTTGGCAGGCGCTCTTTTCCCAGAATGTCCTCCACAGAGAGTCGGACCGAGGACAACCCGTACGACTTCAGACATCTACTGAGGAAGACCTCCCAGAGACGAAAGCTCATCAAACAGTACTGAACACATGACTCCATTTTTGGCAAATAATCTGTCAAAATCTGGCGCATGAAACACAATATGTGGCAATTAATACTCATGATAAATGAGTATTTTATTCTGTTAAGTTGTGGGAATGAAAAGCATTGACGGCATTGATGAGGGTCACCTGCACATAACATAGACAGGATGAAGGTTCATGTAAAGCTTTACCCATGACACTGTAAATGAAGGTTTTATTGACGTAATTTGTAAACTAGACATTGTTGCTTTCACATTTGTTTTAATGTCTTCTCTGGTTGGTCCAATAATTTAAGGTGGTCCATATCAATTTAAAAACCAAATACAACTTTATAAATAAAGAGATCATGTAAATACAAATGCCATGCTCTTCAATTTGAACAAATGTCATTTGTTTTTAAGAATGTATCTTTTCAAAAAGCTGCTGAGTGTTGTAACAATGTAAGAAATGTACATTCTCTTTTCTTGTTTTAATGTATTATATATTAAATGCCATGTGATGTTTATTTGTTCTTATCTTTACCATTGCTGCCTTTATACAACACGAGTTCATTTTGTGGTAACAATATGCTGCATACTTTTTTATTTTGTGTTGTACCTCACATTATTACAATCATTGTTACTTTTCACACAGTTATTTCATTTCCATTGACACTTACAGATCTCTGGTGGGAACAAAGGTTCTATCAGCTATCTCCACGTAGTCTGTTGACTTGAGCTTTCCTCAAGATTCAAACCCCTGAGCTTTACGTGACATTTTAAAGGAGGAACACAGGAAGTGGTAGTGACATGCTGACTAAATACAATGTCTCAAAAAAACATGTACAGCCAAAACTCCAGAGAAAACTCATGCAGCAAATCAGATTTATGGATGGTCATATAGAAGGAAAAAAACACATTGCTGGTAGAAAATGAAATTGATAAATTAAAAACAGAACTTTTAAGCTTTAAATGTATTAATATCATTTAAAATAAAACAGAAAATGACTAAGGGTTCTATGGATATACAGTCTTACAGTATTTCAATACACATGCGTCACAGTATTAGCATGGCTTTGCCAAAGGGCCCTCTTTATTTTAATAGATCCCTTGTGGCATTAAATGGTTGTTTGCTATTGCAATGATAAATCATATCAGATGTGGGTCAGGGTGGGTTTGATGCCCTCGGGGTCCATTTGCTCTCAATGGGTTCAAACAATATAATAAAACAGCACAGAACATAATTGTACGGTTGTACATTTACCAGATAGTGTGGAATAAGTCCCTGATGCATTTTAACTGTATTTTTACTACTTTTCAGGCCCAACATCTTTACAACAGTGCATACCATTTGTGCTTTATTTTAGGTGGACACAAATGTGGATATTATCAATCATTGATTTTCTCATTATAGAGTGAAGAAAGTCCTGATAATCATGATGTTTGAATGTGCAAAAAGGCTTTGGTAATTATTCTTAATTCAGTAAATGGGTCATTCCAGAATTGGAGGAAAATGTACACAGCAACATCTTTGAAAAATGAACCTTTTATTTTATTATTTGTTTTATGTATTTAGGAAACACAGATAATAAACCATCAAAAAAGTGATTTGCCCAGCTAAGGCATCAAATGTATATTTTCCAATAAAGAATTACCCCTGTTACTCTAATTATAGTAACAGGGTTGAAAATCAATGCTAATTTGAGCTTTAACCTCAGGAATTATTGCTATGTAGCATGTAATGCTACTTTCAAGGCAAGGACAAATGAAAATCTAATCTAATGAAAGAAAGATAACTTTGAAATTAATATACTTTTATGCCACACTCTTTTAAGACTGAAAATATTGTAAAAATATGAAAAATAAAAGAGAGGGCTTAGTTTTGGTCTACCCATGGCACTTGCACATGGCTTGCTGATGTCACTTCCACTGTGTCGTTTGACTTGCAGTTTTTTCACTTCCTCTGCCAATCTAAGGTAACAGGATTGAACGCATGTTGAGGGACACACCTTCTGTGCAAAATTACTGTTATTTAAAATATGTGTATGATTTAACAAATTGATTTTACCATTGCAAGAGACATATATCAATAGAATAATACCAAAAAAAGTAAATAAAATCCCTATGTTAAACGTTATATTTGACATGCAAGTTGGTCACCAAGAAGACAAGAGAAAAATGCCATTTTAGGGGGTGTTCGAGAGCTATTTGATCATTTAAATAATATTTTGAAACCACTTTGTCTACAACTTTATATACATTGTGTCTCAAGACAAGTATGTTTAACACAAAAAGTGCATGTTTTAGCTTTTTGGGCATGGATTATTAGATTTTTTATATGGGGGACATGAAATGTCCTCCAATTCTGGAATGACCCAAACACAGAAGTATTGAGTAATAATACTGTTGGTGTAACGAGCCCAGGAGAGAGGAGGGATCCATGCGCACTTTTCCTCAATTTGAAGCCCATCTCCTCGTGCCCTGCTGCTGCTTCTTCCCCCGGAGGCGCGCAAATAGAGCAGCCGGTCTGCAAGAAATAGGTCCGCACCTGCCTGGCAAATGAATTAGTTTGCATTCACTGTCTTCTGTAAATTGTGCGCGCGGGGGGGGGGGGAGTGTCGGGGATGTATGGAGTCACGACGCACGACGCAGTGCACTTCGTCATGACCTGAAGTGAATCACGATGGGATTTCTTTAGTGACGTTATATTTAGGTTGGGAGCAATTAGGCATGGCTCGTGCGTGCTGCATATTTAACAGCAGCTGTCGCACTGACACCACTTTTGGCTGCAACTCATTTTATTTTTAGTATCATTTTTCATCCAAAGCTTTGCTCCTGCATATTTCCACGGAGTGAGGAGTGCGTGACTGAGTGCGCCTGTGAAGTCAAGAGTGTGCGGATTTATAGGGGAGGACGCTCATTTCTTATTAGTGCACCTGTGGAAGCCTGCAAGAAGAACACCGTGGACGTCTTTTGTTTTTCTTTTACCACACGCGTTTTAGTTTTAGGGGCTCTGCTGCAGCGTAAAGCGTCTCCCGGATGCGCGTCTGGATTTCAGCACCACATCAGCGTTGAACAGCTCCGGGTGGACGCGTGTGGATGGGCTCTGTCTGTCTCCGTGTCTCGAGCAGCTCCTAAGTATCGGCAACAATGGCACAACAGGGCTTCTGGTCTCTTGGTGGAGATAATGCGGGGGCCAACACCGGGAATCAGAGCCCCAGCACGCGTGAGTGTTTTTTTTGTAATCTCCAAATCACCTCTGATGGACCGGCTCTAATCCCGGTGTATTGTCTCAAACCTGTGCGCTGCATTTGGTTAGAGTCAACGAATGAAAATCCAAACAGGCCTGCTTTATGTAGAGTCTTTTTTTACACATATTTAGTCGTGTTTTCCCCTTCAGGGTGCAAGAATTGATCCTAAATCAGTCTTTCATTGTACCTTGCATATCGCTTTTCGGCGTCTATGTTTAAAGTTGGAACCTGAATCTATTCGTTCCTTTTGACTGATCCTTTCTCTTTTCCAGCCAGGGCTTGGTGCCAAGCGGCGGCCTCGAAATTATCCGGAGGACTTGGATCTAAATTATGTGGTATGTTGGTTCACAGTGGGTGGGTGGGGTAAGCTATTTGAGCGACGTGCGCGGTTTTCTTTCCATCTTTTTTTGTTTGTAACTCCCAGCCTCGTCTAAAAGGTTGTAAAAAATATCTTAATGCTGTTTTTTGTCTAAAGCTCTTCTCAATGTCGGAGAATTGGAGAAAGGCGCCGAGCCGGCCGCCAAGCAGCCGCCGGAGACAGAGACTGCTGCCTGCGGCTGCAACAAATCCTGCAAATGCACCAAAGCTTCTGTGGTCTTCTCCGACCTCTATTCAACAGGTACAGAAGCATGCTGTAACACCGACATTAAACCCGGCATGCCGTCTCCTGATCTGTCTCATTGAGTCACAGCTTGGCCTTGCCGTGATTTATTCTGCGTAAAAATACATTGTTATATGTTGATGTATAGTCATTTTAAAAATGAATGAAAAACATGCAGCGTTGTACGAAAATACATTGTTATGTTATACTTGTCACTTAGTTTACATTGTCAAAGAGACGATCTGCGTTATTCTTTGTTCCGTCATTAAAAATAGGACTTCATAGGCTACACATGAAATAACACTAGGAATAAATGACATAACATATGCTTAAAATATTATCATGCACAGTATGCTATTTATATTTATATTTCATATCCATAATATTCAGTGAGTTATGGTGAACATTTTTTGCACGTTGTCGGAGAGGTCACCTTCAGCAGAATGTCATGTTTTTATGTTTTCACGTCGTAGAAACTTTAACACTTTAAAACGTTTCCATACATTTTAGACCTTATTGTTGACCTAATTGTTAAGACATTTATGCTTTTTCCCCCTCCTTTTGTATATAAATGTGACATTCTTGTGATCGTGGGTAAAAGGCCAACACAATGTATAATAATCATACATAAAAGCGGTTTTAATGGATGCTCTCAACATACAAAAATCTCATTTACCGCTTGTTTTATGTAACACATTTTATTCTTTACAGACCTGTTACCTGCCATGGACAGTGACGCCAAAACAATGATCTTCCTGCAGGAAGTTGTGGATATTTTAATGGCCTACATCGTGGAGTCTTTCGACCGGGACACGAAGGTTATTGATTTCCATTATCCGAACGAGCTGCTCCAGAAGAATAACTGGGAGCTTCAGAGCGAGCCGGCCTCCCTGGATGAGATCTTGATCAGCTGTCGCGCCACCCTCAAATACGCCATCAAAACAGGTCAGGCCCCGGGCTGCATACTGGATAAATAAACCTGCTTCACATCTGACTGTAATCTGTACAAGATGTGGCATCTTGGAAAATATGCTCCACTTCATAGCTGCACCTTTTCCATGTATGGCCTAACAGCCCGGCCTGCTGCCTATCTTTATGTCTATATCACAATAGCTGTTTGTTAGATCAATAATAAATAATATATAGGAGAAATAACTGTCACACTGATAAAAAAAGTTTGCATCAGAGGATGACATCTAGACAATCTCTAATTGGCTGAATGTGGTCTACTATCTCTATTTTGTTATAAGGAATATCCCCCAACTGAATAAAACAAAGAAAGCAATCTGTGTGTAAAATAAATAAATGGTGAAAACCTGGAGGTTGTCCTCCCACTCCTCCTCCCGACCAGCAGACCGGTAAATGCAGTGACGCAGTAAATCTGGTTCACCAAGTAGATAATAGCTAATAACCACGTAGGGGCCAAGTCCATTATTCTCTCCTCTCTGACACACGCAGGGGAACATTTACTGCACACATTTCATCCCCAAAAACATACAGATTTATTTTTGATTGTATTTAAACCCCTGTTAAATACGTGATACACATTTAATAAATAGTATAGCATACTGGTGTAGTGATAAGATATAAATATATTTGTATGTTTATTTTTAATGTACAGCATTCCTTTTTAGCAGTATTAGCTCCTTTTATCAAGACATACATCATTTGAATTTCAATCATGTCAGGTGTCAATAGAACACCATACATGCATTGACAAACGTATCTGCTTATAACACACTCTAATGTTGTAATATTGCTAATACATGCTTTATTGAGGGGGTTAAAGTAAAATATCACCATGCATGTTTATATTTAAAACAAGAAATAATAATTAGACTCATTTTCAAAGCCCCTCTTTATGTTTTGAAACAATGGGTGTTGATACCCTCCATTAAATTCCTACATTACCCATGAAACACTAAATGCTTTCATCATTTCTCAAGATGATTTAAATCGTCACTGCAGCTGCATTTTCTAACCTGCAATTAGAGGGTTTAGAAGATTACAACCTCTGTGCCTTTTGCACAAACTCAGCATAAACACATGAAGCTTATTTCAATTTTGCTAGATAAAATGTTCAAATTGCAGCACCCTTCCTCTCCCATATTTTTTCTTTATTCCTTTTCCTCCAGCCCATCCCAGGTACTTCAATCAGCTCTCTACAGGATTAGACATGGTTGGACTGGCAGCCGATTGGCTAACATCCACTGCCAACACCAATATGTAAGTATGTGGCCTGTGCTCCATCATGATTTTAAACGGTGATAATGATAATGACAATGAATTCCATTTCCTGCCCAGCCCAGCCGTGTGCCGTCTGCTTGTGCTGATAGCGGCTTCTTCTTTTTTTCACTCAATCATAGCAAATGAAAAGGCTAAAATGAAAGGCTGACACCCCCTAAACTCCCACTCCCCCTGAACCCCTCCCACCTCTGCCTTTTATCCTTCCCCCTCACCCACAATATCCATGGGGATTCAAGGGGAGAAAATTAGCCCTGAAATTAAATTCTGACTAATCTGGAGCTAATTTTGGTGTGTGTTTTTAGAGTGATAAACTCAGCCTTGGCAACTGTGAGGCACTGCAAAATAAGGGGAGGGGGTTAGATTTACTTCAGTAAATGCACCAATTTTCTGTCGAAAATATATTAGCAGGCATGCATTGGAATATTATTTTTAAGTGATGCAAGGATGAAGGAACAGTGAGACTTCTGTACAACAACGTGCACGTTAGGGTCTAAGAAATGTGGCCTGCGAGGTTGAAATATAAATAATTCTGATACATTTTGATCAAAAGCATCGGCAATGGAGAAGCCTGTACATTTGACATAAATTCTACAATATTACTATACAAAACATGTTTTTTCCCTCACTAATTTCGATTATTAGGGCTTTATCGACAGCTAAAAAGCTATTGATTTGAAATCAAATCATTTACTGAAACATTGAAACTGCAGGGGATAGAAATGTCTGTTTTCTGGCAGATTTTCGGGGATGAGTCATGGCGCTTTTTGTGTAACCAGCATCATGTGATGTCCCTTGTGTAACGCAGGTTCACCTATGAGGTGGCTCCTGTCTTTGTGCTGCTGGAATACGTCACTCTGAAGAAGATGAGGGAAATCGTTGGCTGGAAGGATGGGCAGGGAGATGGCATTTTCTCTCCTGGTATGTAAGGCGACGCCAATCCCAACACCCCTCCGTTTCACTGAAAATGGAACTGCCTGTGTGTGTGCTGCAATGTGTCCATTTGCATTTTGATGATTTAAATGGAACTCCTTTGAAAGCCAATTAGCATAAAAATAATTTGCCAAATTCCAGCCCCCACCTCGTCACCCTCCAATCTTTAATGTCCCTCGTGCATTTCTGTTTGAGGTGAGCAATCATTGGATGATTTGAAGAACAAGGACTGTGATTGGCTCTGACATTGCGGACAGTTAGATGCTGTGTCATATCTTGAAACACTGGAAAATGATTTGATGTTCTAGTTGCTTCATTGTTTGTAAAATGCAGTATTTTACAATTCTGTTCTGAAGCCCTGCATCATCCCCATGACAATTGTCACTTACTTATGTGATTTGTGTCCTCTAGGTGGGGCTATTTCTAACATGTATGCCATGCTGCTCGCTCGCTTCAAGATGTTCCCTGAAGTGAAGGAGAAAGGAATGTCATGCGTTCCCAGACTGGCGGCCTTTACATCCGAACATGTAGGCATTTATGTTTCATTTCAGCTGATACACAATGTCCATATGTGTCTTTTTCATACAAATGTTTAAACAAAATACATATATTTCAGATGTTCTCCCCCTGGTGTAAAGACAGTTAATCATCTTCTCTCTTTCATGTTTTTCTTCAATCTCCAGAGTCATTTTTCAATCAAAAAAGGTGCAGCGGCTCTTGGCATCGGGACGGAGAGTGTGATCTGCATTAAAGTAGATGAAAGGTAAAGTCTTCCTCTCATTTCAGCGGCACAGATAACACATTAGAAGAAGAATCCCAGCTGCTGGAGTTCAGCACCACTCTCTGCTATCTTGTACTTTTACTTTAATACAGTTCAGAGTGAAATAATGAAATGTCACCTCACATGTATATTTATCTGACCGGACCGCTGTAGTTATTAGTTACTTCCAAAATAAAAGAGTTTGCCTAAAACATATGATAAGCTTATAAATAATGTAATTTTAAACAAGGCTTTTCCAACCTTTTTGGCTTTTTTGTATAAATGAGTGTATAGTTGGGGCCCCTTGTCAACCTTTAAATGTTTTTGAGAGCTATTTCCCCTTTAAACGTTTCAGATGATATATTATTTGATAATATTGAAATAGTAAAAGTGTTTCCATTTCTTATGCAGAAGGAATTGTTAGGAGCATTTTGCTTATACTACACATTTGTACTAGTATTGTAGGACCTTTACATTGATGTATTAGTATCTTCACATAAGCTAATGATCTGAATAACTCTCCCATCACTGATATGAACTGCTCTTTTTTTCTTTTACAGCGGTCAAATGATCCCAGCTGACCTTGAGAGGAGAATACTGGAAGCCAAAAAGACGGTAATATTATAACGCAGATATAAATACATCTCACACAGACCTCATTCTTTTGTATTCAATCAGCTGAAACAGCAGTAGTGACTCAACATATTGTTATAACTGCTCCTTTATGTACAATCATTTCCTGTGTCTTTGCAGGGATTGGTCCCTTTCTTTGTCAGTGCAACGGCTGGAACCACAGTGTACGGAGCCTTCGACCCTCTCATTGCCATTTCTGACATCTGCAAAAAGTACAACGTGTGGATGCATGTGGATGTAAGCAAAACGCATACAAATCTTCATTAACATCTCTGGTTTCTTTCTTTAAAACTGTGTTATTACCTGTAGGTGATGCACAGTGGGGATTTTAGTGAAGGAATACAGAGCTCACCAGTGGGTTTGACGAATCTATTATGTCTGTCTCGCGTATAACTGCTTGCGGTTGACCCAGATAGGAGCCAGCCGCCCCCTATCTAACACTGGGGATTAGAAAAACTGGAACAGAGGCTGTAAATCATCTCCTCCCCTGACTTTGCCATCATGGGCCCTCTCACTGAAGGAACTCTATCTATTAATGAAGGTGATTTAGTCCTGACAGGGGGACACCTCTATTAAGAGGTATAAATGGCCTTATCTATCACTCCTCAACTGGCTGAGATGGGGAAGAAAACATCCTGCTTCCGAGTGTGCTGGCCCCTGCTGCTTTTGTTTGTCTGAAATGGGATTTTGTTGATCCATGAAATGAATGTCTGGAGGTCTTTTAAAATGAGTTGTAAACATTATGAGGCCTGCAAGTCCAGATATGCTTTTGAAAAGCATCCGCAAGCTTCCGACGTTTCTATTACACCTTTTTAAAGCTGTCGGTGCTAATATTTTGCGTAAAGGCTAACATGTAAAGCTGAATTTCCTCATAGTGGCACTTTTTTTTTCAATATTGATTAATCTTCCAAATAGTTTTTAATGCAAAAACCAAATTAAAGGTATGATTAATATAATAATATGACTTTTAGTTTCTCTGATACATTTACTCTTTAGTAAATATCATTTTTGAAGTGAATATGAATATTCATATTTGCTTTACAGAATCAAGAATCGGTCAGTGAAGGCAGCAGAGGCTATTATTTATATCTTAGCATATTCATTCTACTGGTTTTTCATATATCTTAACCCTGAACTTTTTGCTCTCCTGGTTAGATGCTTACAGTAAATGGATGTTTGTTGTCTCAGTTCCTGTACTCAATGATTGCAATGTAATGCTAGATCTAATTTTAAACACAAAAAAAGCTTGATGCAGCTTCATATTATGTTAGTCTTTCTACATCTGGAAAATGGTTGCATCACTTGTCAAGGATCAACAGACGCCTTTACACAACTGTTTTTCAGGCTAGTACTGAATTAGCATATCTAATTTCGTTTAAATAAATGATTAACCTTGAAGTTGTGTGTACAGTGCCACTAACTAACTATCATCTGTGTTTCCAAACAGGGAGCGTGGGGAGGAAGTCTCCTCATGTCCAGGAGACACAGGTGGAAGCTGGACGGAGTTGAAAGGCAAGTCAAAAAATACATGTAGTGTAAACTCAATCTGCGCAGAAGCTAATGAGCATTTGAAGTAATATGTGGAATGCATGGTGGGTGTTTTTTTGTTATGTTACCTTCAGGGCCAACTCAGTGACATGGAACCCACACAAGATGATGTCTGTCCCTCTGCAGTGCTCCGCCCTGCTGGTCCGAGAGGAGGTGGGCTTTATGGTCATGTACATACAGAACACATGAATATTGGTTTGGGATATTTGCTGCTATTATACATTTTCTGGATATGATCTCACAGGGCCTGATGCAGAGCTGCAACAATATGCACGCCGTCTACCTGTTCCAGCAGGACAAACACTACGACCTCTCCTACGACACCGGGGACAAAGCGCTGCAGTGCGGACGCCACGTGGACATCTTCAAGCTGTGGCTCATGTGGAGAGCTAAGGTAACAGGGAATGTGATCATATCTCTATGAAGTTCTTTAATATACAAACTGATTTTGTGGCGATTCGTGTTGGTCAGTGTGAGATGTCTGCAAAAAAGAATTAGTTCAGCGATTTAGGGGTGTTTTATCATAAACCTAACTTTAATTCTTATTTTAACAAACAGCCATTCTCAGAAAATGATGTGAAAACTTGATGTGAATATATTTGCCATAGTGGTAAAGGTCAACAAATGTTAAATACACCACTTTAGTCAATGGGTGCAAACCCTGAACCAAATTCTAAGTTGGTCTTCAAATGTCAAATGATTTGCTTAAACTTTAAAAGATTTTCTTAAACTGTAATTTGTTTAAATGTCACTGTTTAATTTATTTTTCTAATATTATATATGCATGACAGATTAAAAGTGATTTACACTTTTTGGTGTATCTTGTACGCCGACCTTGAGAGCCTTGAAAGGTGCCTTTATAAATAAAATGTATTTATTTATTTGGGATTGTAGTCTTTGCAGTACAATTAACATGCACAAAAACCTATATAACACACAGGAAAGGGTAAAGGGGCTCTTTAAAGCACCTTTAGATTCAGGAGTCTTCCCCAATTCACCAGCAGAAATATATTATGTTTGCTGCACAGTTGCCTAGATACCTTCAGTTTTACAATAATCACACAATATGTCTAACTAAAGGTTTCAAAGCTAACAGATGTATCTCTCTTCTTTCTCAGGGCACCATTGGGTTTGAGGCTCAGATTGATAAGTGTTTGGAGTTGTCTGACTACCTCTACAACAAGATCAAAGACAGAGAAGGATACGAGATGGTCTTCAATGGAACGGTAAGTCCACATTTACCCTTCCACTCTCCATGAGGATTACTCGTCCTCACCATCAGAGGAAAGTAGCCAACATTAACGTCGCTACTCTGACCTCCGTGTATTCAGACTCATCTCGGGTGACTTGATTGACACGCAGTGTGCTCTTGCTTTGTGTTGGATGAGAGCCATTTTTACCTCTCGCTGCCAGTATAATGTGCTGCCATTATGTTTAATGAATAGCATAGCGGCCAGTAATTGCTCATATGCATATGAAAAGCAAAGTGCCTGAAATATCCTATACAGGGCAAAACTACAACAGCCTAAACATATGTGGATGATGGGGTTATCAAGCTAAAAACTGTTTGGACGGCCAGAGTCATTTATAGTAAAAGCTCTTCTTCTTTATTGTATACCTGCTGAAAGCATCAAAACCCTGAGGGTGGGGGGAACAGGCCAAGTCCTCTGGGCATCGGTCCAGGTGTTCACTTGTCTGTACATCCCATAAAGCCATTACATCAATCTGAGGTTGAATATATACAGCGGAACCAGCCCGAGTTTATAAATGAGGCTGCTGTGCATGGCTGGTCAGATGTTGGTAATGACTGTTTTCACAGCCGGGCTGCTCCGGCAGGGCTTCAGGTGCCAAACAAAATATCAGCATTCACACGAGAGTGTCTGAAGAGGAGGCAGTCTACCTGTCTGATGCTGGGAACACCTAATGGGTGTTTTCTCACAGAATCTGCTATAGTTTGGCTAAAGGGACCGGCTACAGTTACTCTAAGCACTTCCTACTTTGTGCTATCTTTAGGATTTCAAGCAAGGATGATTGTGAATAATCATTCATATTATCGCAATATAGTAAATGTATGAACATTTGTTAATCAACACGTTTTTACAACTTATATTTGTACCATTTAAGAGACTATAATAGTTTATATTATCGCCTTATATAGTTATATGTGTTAGCAATCAACTGCTTATTTCCACATCCAGCAGATTTGCAGTAAGGCTGAAAACAAAAAAAGCGTGTTTACTGCGTGTACTTGCTAGTTGCTAGCGTGGGCAGAATCCCTGTCAACAGCTGAATGCTAAGTTACGCTAAGTTATAGGCCATAGTACCAAAACAATGAACTGTGGCGTTCAGGGGAACACAAGGGTTGTTTAAAAATTCTCTGTGGGTTGTTACTTTGAGCGATTCCTTTCGCCTTAAAAATACAAATTATATAAATAATTAAAAAAATGTATAAGAGCAATTTTAAACATTCAAGGGATTTTAGTTTTTAATTGCAACATGATTGAATTTATTTGTAATGTTATTATAGAATTATTACGGTATTTTAATTGATTTAAACTGTCATCATAAATGACCACTTAGGGGGTGTCATAAACAAGGAATTGACAATCCAAACATGGCTTTAATTTTTAATCAAATCATCATGATAAAGTAAAAATCTCTTATATTGGATCATTCCCCAGCCCTGCTGTACAGTATGTGTGCATGTGTTTTACTCCACTCATCTCTTATGGTCTGTGTGTGCTCCCCCAGCCTCAGCACACCAACGTCTGCTTCTGGTACCTCCCTCCTGGGATCCGCTACATGGAGGACAAAGAGGAGAGGAAGAAACACTTGCACAAGGTGGGTGAGCGGAGATAAGAAGCCTGACTATAATATCTCCCAAAAACAGCTTTCACTGCACCTCTCTTTGACCTACAAGCCTTCATTCATATCCAGCCTGCCCATCACTTGTCTTCTTCATTAGGGACCACTAGGATGGCCACTTATGCCCGTATATAAAAAAGAACATGTGCTATAAGCAAATAGTGACAGTCTTAAAATAGGATGTCACAGAGGAGGGGTATCACGGGCCTGACTTGAGGGAGGGGTGCTAACCAGTTAGCCAAAGTGGCTGCCATTCAGAGGCTCCCACAGCAGCAGGGGCCTAATAATAGTCAATTAGGACAAACAGATGGTGTACGTGCCAGACACACAAAGGGCTCTCTCTCTGTGAAAACTATCAACCATGAATCATTTGTCATAGCACACACATGGAGTGAGTTCCTCTCAAACTATGCCTCACTGAGAGTGTGCTTGGTTTGGATAGCTCACTTTTTTCCAGAGATAATAGATTAAGGTATGATGTAATTGCTTGATTTAGAAAATGCACGAATTGAAAGAGCTTTCCTTAATTTCCACTTCCCTCATTCTAAAGGATAACTGGAAAAAGGTCAAAAGACTGATTTTAAGTAAATCTGCAGCTGCTGACTGATTATTTTTACCGTAACTGCAGCGGGACACCTGCAAGAAATTTAGAAGGAATGACTCATGTGTCTTATCTCTAAGGAATGATTATGAGCTACAGTTTTCAACACAGCCCAGTGGAGGAAGATGTTGTCAGATCCTCCACTAAAGTTAGAGTTACAGCCCCACATTTAAAAATACTTCAACATTTTATAAGTTAAAGTCCAGAATTTATGTAAAAGCACATATCTATAAACAAGCATCACACTATGCAACTATTGACTATACTGTAGGTCACAATACGTCTCCAAATATGGCATTTTCTCCTTAATTGTACTGAAATTCACCAATGGTCCATGGGCACATATATTGAAATTATTTTCCTCAGTAATATGTCAGAACTGCTTAATCTGCCACAGCTTGTCACAACACAGAATGCACAAAACCATCCAGACTTTTCTGAGCACAAGATAAATGACCTGCACGCTTGACTGCTGAAATAACCTCTCAGCCTGGCAGCAGCACACAGATGTAGCTGTCAGAGTCTTTGGGCCAGGTTTCGAGTAATCTGAACGGAACATGTGACTTGTTTAGTTTCTGAAAAGAAAAGGAAAATCGTTAATTAAGGAAAACAAATTAAAAGGGCATCTAAGAAGTCAGAATAAATTGATATTTGTTGTCTATTCCCACGCAATCATTCACTTTGACCCACACATATTGAGTCATGTGATCACACCTCACAGTGTGTAAAGTGCTAATTGAAGCGCAATCTAGAATAGGGACACATTGGAGGAACATTTTCAGAATGTTAAGATGTGTTTTCCTTCTGGGAGTGAGATGAGAAGATCAATACCACTCTCATGTTTTTATGGTAATATTAAGCTGTCTTTTTCTGCTTTAAGTGCACAGGTAAAGATTTCAAAAGATAGGTGTCTAGTGCCCAATCCCAGGATATGTTCACAAACTCTGCTCTTAAAACATAACCCAGCACACTTTATTTGCAACTTAATTGTGTGTGTGCTTGCTTGGTAGTAGCTTGTTATACTCACCTCCCAAATTAAGTGTTGGTCTGATATTTCTCTGAATAATATTAACTCGTACTTTTTTTACTGGACCTATCAGGTGGCTCCAGTGATAAAGGCCAGGATGATGGAGTACGGAACAACCATGGTCAGCTACCAACCACAAGGAGACAAGGTCAACTTTTTCCGCATGGTGATCTCAAATCCCGCCGCTACCCTCGAGGACATCGACTTTCTTATTGAGGAGATTGAGCGACTGGGCCAGGATCTATAAAACTCATCTCCCCCTGCTGTACGTTTCCCCTTGACGGATGAATTGTTTGTCGTGAATGTACTGGTAAACTTCTTCTTTTCTTCTTTCCTCCAAAGTTAAATATTTAAGAGTATATTTGAGAAAAAAGATCTACAGATATATCCATATATTATGTATTGTAGCTTCGCCGTGGACTAACTTGGTCCAAAGCTATGTAAAAGTGCTTCTGTCTGCCTTCCTAAAGTGTAATAGATCCAAGAGTAGTGTAAGTGATGTAACTTTATATGTACTTTTTGTGATATGAAATGCTCGTGCTATAGGTCGATGAGGAAAAGTTTTATTTTTGAATCATTTCTCATTTGCCAAGTATGTTGTTAAGTGACAAAAGTGGTTGTGTTCTATTTGTAACTTTACATTTTAAACTTCTTGTTTAAAATGAAAAAAAGCACTTCACCTTACCTCAGCGTAATCAACTGCCTTTACATCCGCACATCGTACTCCAAAGTAGTAATTTTGGAAAATGTACTCATGGCTGGTGGTGTATATCAGAACTCATGTTAATAAATGCAGTAAATAATCTAGCCAATAAGGGATTTTTAATCAGGTACAAAAGAAGGTATTTCCCTTCAAATCAAACAACTGCAAAGTCAATTCAAAGCATTTATGAAGCTCAGACGTTCCATCATGCATCACATCGGCCTCTTTTGCTGCTTATGACACTTTTAATCTTCTTTCACGTGCTTCTTTCTGGTGTATTTGAGGAGGTAACGGCTTTTTAAACCCATTTTGTTTAATGTCACTTTCATATCAAAATGGGAATAATTTTCAACGTGGCTGTATATTTAACTGTGCTGGATGTGCTTTACATGTCGTTATGATGATCTCAAATTATAATAATCAAGAGGTAACATGAAGATATAATCCTTCAGTGTATTTTTTGTTTCAAAGCCCATTTTCTTCATATTCAATGGCCAACATTGATCTAGCCAGCCAAAGTATCTGGACCTTTTTAATTATCTTAAAATTGATCTAAAAAATATTGGGGGAATGTGTATTTAAGACGCCGAACCACTCAGGTTTCTGATCAAATTGCAATTGTACAAAGTATATTGCCAATTTGTTTATGGCACAAACAAAATTAAGTCATGGTGTTTTTTGTTTGGTACTGACATGGTAGAGAAATTCATGCTGGATTACCAACTGGGAAAAGTGGACCACTTCCAAAGGTGGAACCAAAGCCCTGAGTTCACTGCATGTCAAATGCTTTTGGTCATTTAATTATAAAAAAACGTAAATGTGTCCACTTAGCTACACTTAGCTTTGGCATTATAAGCGTTAGCTAATAAGATAACTATCCCTAGAAAATTATCCCTAACGGCCCCTACACACGGCAGCGTGCGTTGTCGCTTGCCGGCCGGGGGGGTTGAAACTCGACCAACAACCAATCACATGAATCTCCCGCCCCAGACACACAAGCACGCGGTTTGGGAGGCGTGTGGCGCAGTGGATTGAGCCTTGGTGTTGGGATCAGGGGGTCACAGGTTCTAACCCCACTGCAGTCAGCATGTCGTTGTGTCCCTGGGCAAGATACTTCACCCCAAATTGCTCCTGTGGGGATTGCCCACAGTATTGAGTATGTACGTCGCTTTGGATAAAAGCGTCTAACAAGTAACATGTAATGTAATGTTTGATTGGCTAGAGCTTGTACTGGCATATGATTCGATTGGCTGACGCCTCCGTCGAGGCGTCAAAAGTAGAACATTGCTCTACTTTTGCAGCGAGCACCGCGAGGGAAGCTACGCTTTGCTCCCACAATTCAGTTCGGCGAATCGTGACGTCACCCATTCAAAGTGAATGGGCAAAAGCGCTGAAGCGGCAACGCACGCCGCCGTGTGTAGGGGCCGTAATATTGTGACCAAATGATGCATTTTCCTGATAAAGTATTTCATTATATTGACACCATCTGGTATAAGTTTGGTATATATCAGCAAGTCAAAGTCAAAAGTCAGTCAAAGTCAACTTTATAGTCAAAGTACTGGCTGCACTGGACTTTATTGGAGTTATGATCACATGACCTGCAGTACCAACGTTGGCCACTATCCCCTTTCCCATGCTCTTGCTGTTTTAACATTGGCATGTTAAGGATTGCACATTTTAAGATGTGAAACCTTTCATCTACAGTCACAAAATGAAAAACTATTTGTCAGTTGTGTTTTTGGATGAGCACTTAAAGAAAGATTGAGGATCTTGAGAAAACTTGTAACGGGCAATAATGGTGTTTTGTTTCATTTAGAAACTTCACCAGATTTGCAGCTAAAGCAAACCTGACATCCCTTGCACTAAACCTTTGGGGAAGGAGGAGCATCCCTTAGTATTGCAACTGAGATGTCTTCTTTATTGATTCACAAGCAATATGATGGGTCCAAACTACATGCCCTGCACCAAATCAGAAGAAACAGTGCATTCAAGTCACCATAGTTAAAGATAATCAAATTTGCTATTATTTAGCAAAAACGTAAACATGCTTATTACTGAAGGCAGCTTAGTTAATGGAGTGTGAATCCTGATCAAACAAGCAGAGGTTCCTTCGCATTTCATTAGAACAAGGTAGAAAAGCACAATTTTCTCAATGGTCGCTCAGTGTACAATCATTTTATGATCATAGGTTGTAAATAGTATTTGAAGATGTCCTAAGTACATATCTTTGTGTATACATAAGTGTATATAAGACGTATAACCAGAGAATATTTGTGAGGTAAAGTTATTCATATTTTCTCTATCTCCAATATAGATAACCTGTATTTTCATCTCGTTTGTCCAAAAGGCTTTTTTCCTGTGTGTATGTATGTACTGTATGTTTGTCCGATACTTGACTTGGTTTGTGACTCTTCTAGCTATTTCTAAGAAAACGTGTTTCAGGGACAGGCTTTAAAGAAATTGACTGTATTCACCTCAAAATACTTCCGAGTCTTGCTCAGAGACTCTGGTGTTTGTATTTTAAATGAATATGCAAAGCCATTTTGACTCTGAAGCTCTGTGTTTTTTGTGCACAAGTGAATACTTGACGGTATGTGCCAATCTGTACCTAAGTGTGTTTGTAACTGTGTTGCCTTAGTATACATTTGCCAGTATTGTCTAGTTTTCCTCCAAAAGGGGAGGTTGTGCACTTTAGAGTATACCCATGACCTAATAATGTGCAATGTCCATTGGTTGTTCATAAGTTGATGTTTAAAAAAAGTATTCAAAAATGTAACTTAAGCTCTTTTGTCTGAATGTGACAGGAATCAGGGGTCTGTTATGAAAGCATTTCATTTTTTGCAGTTTATATATAGGATATTATAAAAGCGCTTTGTTTGATCGTTTCACATTCTAGCAGAGATTAGCCTAAAGCAGGCGGTCGGCAACCCCTGGCACGCGTTGCCAGCATTGGCACCGCGGCACCGTAACCAGTGGCACACTAGGAATAAGTGGAATAAGTGTGCAAAATATTTAAATTGTATTTTCGGATCCTGAACGAGACCGCGCGCCCAGAGAGCGTCTCCCCCGTTACCTGCAGAAGGAGAAGCCATAGCGCACGCCGCAAACGCGCAGCCCCGCTCTCTGTTATCTCCAGGTGACTTTCTGGCCGCTTTTCCTCCGTGGTGCAGTGCTGATCGTTTTCACCACGGAGGAAAGCAACTTCTCTAAATTGCAGTACCATAAGGAGCTGTACCAAATGCCGCAGTTTTTTGCGTGGCTGTGTATTTAGTTGAAAGCCCCAGTGGCGATCAGCTCATTTCTCATCGAATAATATGCTACAAAGGGGCCGGACTAGGGGCCATCTCTGTGTGTTGAACTTTCCTGTCAGTCCCAGACCGTAGTCGAGGAGGGCAGCAGCAACAAGCTTCAGGTTCAATAACCCACTTTAGCTTTAAATGCCTGAGAGAGGGCGAGCTCTTCTTGAGAGGCCCGTTGCATTTATTTAGCTGTTCTTCTGTTTCACAAAATACATCACAGACCTCTGTTTTTCTGCTTCCTCCGTTTCACTTCCAGAGAACCATACACACGTTCGCCTCACTGGCTCGCGCTGTACGCATCCACACACACACATGCACACAGCCCACAGCCGCCTCCTCCTTCTCCTCTATTAAAGGCGAGCGCAGGCGAGTGACCTGGCCCCGCCCTCTGATGAATAGTGAAGAGCGTCAAGCTCCTCCAAGTACTCCTCAACCCCACCCCACCCCACGTTGATAATTCTCGATCGTTGGCACGCTGATAAAAACATTTTTTTTAAATGGCACTTCATATCAAAAAGGTTGCCGACCTCTGGCCTAAAGTTTAAGATGTGATAATCTTTATTCTGTTACCGATCAAATTGGCGTAAACACCATGACACAGACAACATCAGATATATTACAACGGCGTTTCGGAAAGCCAGACATTTTCTTCTCTTGCTGCTGAAAGACTTGCTTCCTTTGCACGTGCATGCGATGCCTTGCCTGTCCAGCTTGTTCGATATCTCCTATATATCAATTTCTATATACATATATATACATATATACAGTATCTGTTGCTCCTGTAATTAGCTTTAGTGTCCAATGTATAGCTTTAGCCTGTAGAATAGTTCACTGTCGCTCTAGCCTTTACATGTGATCTGTGTCTTGAGCTTCCTGTAAAGTTTCTCTGTGCCGCAAGCATGCTAACCTCGCCTAGCATTGTATTCCTCTTCGCGCTTGAAAACTATCTCTCTATCCTCTGTCTTTCTTCTTCTGCTTGAATACCGTCGCAGCTCAGTACCTAGCGTATAATATTATATCTATGTGTGTAGTCCCTCAGCATGTCTCTGAAATCTTTACTCTGCTCTGCACCTGTGCATACTTTTCTCTCTTCTCTTTCGCTTCGCCCTCTAGTGGCGGTAACAATGTATCCTCTCGCTTTCTTCCAATGTCGCTCGGCTGCCCGCTGTCATTCTGTTGTGAGAGCGTGTCGTGTCATGGTGTCATCAGGCCACTGTTTTCTGATTTTGTTTTAAATAGACCCTTGACTATGAGATGTATGAGAATCAATAGGATTGAGACTTGATTGTCCAAAAAACGTGTCCAAAACAAGTGTTATTAGCCTTCAACACAGATATATAGAAAAAATACCTGGTTTCTTGCTTATAGGAAATATTGTTTGTTAATGAGAACAATTAAAATCCCCTAGTGCTCAGAGTGCAGTCCACTTTCACCAAATATGGTACGATTTTGAATCATATATTCTGCCAACTGCTCTGCTAGCTTCTCTCAAACATTTTGTCCTGAACTGTATGTTACTATTGGGAAAATATAAATAAATATTGTCAAAACAAACCATTTCTGAAATCTTTCTTCCTTTATTCTTGATTCAGTTTTTTTGCCTGGGCAAATCATTTACAAAGTTGTTTTTTAACACGGGTAGCTTATATACCTTGAACAGCAAAGACATGAAAAGTTGAACTTTAACAGCACGATAAGGTACAAATGTATCAACGGTGCCAGTAGATTGGTCGTATTTATCAATATTTTTGTGACCTTTTTGTGACCTTTACATTTATGAATGGATGCCAGTCAAAAAGCAGCACAGAAAGGGGATTTAATCATTGCCTATAGCACATTTTCTGTTCTCCAAATTGACTTTCTTCCTTTCAAAGCTAGTATGTTGTTGCTGTTGTTTTCTAAATAAAATATCCAAATGTGAAACATATTAAGCAAGCAAAATATATTTTTTGCACCTTTAATTTGAAGGGAGATCTCATTCAATTAAACAAAACAATCTTATCCCACTCCATTGAAAAGTGTGCTTTTTTTGCGCAGCATCACTGGTATGTTGCTAACATCTCTCTAGATGGCACTGCTGCCCCATAAATGCTCATGAGGGAGCAAGAGGGGGGGTATTTCTACATTTCCTCAAAAGAAGCATGTTGCACGGGTTCCTAGAACATTTGGCTTTTTTCCATTATTGTCTCAAGCTGTTATTTTTACATTTTCCTCTCAATCACTTTTGATTGCAACATCCTTTCATGTCCAAACAAAGACGGAAAGGCATCCAAAATGATGTGAAAGTCTCCCAGATGTTTTACCTCATCTTTCCCTCTCATACACAGACCCACATAGTAGATAAAGAGGTGAGGACCACACAGGAATAATTGTTGTCTCGGTTTCTCACACACAGGGGAATTTGTTTGTTAAAGTGACACTAAGGCCCAGATACAAAGATGAGATACACAATATGCTTTAAACAAAGCATCTGGGATGCACATTGCACATTATCAGCTCTGAATGAAGTGGTTGGTTTTACTGATGCAAATGTGACATCGATTCGCTTGTTAAATGTTTCCACAAAGCAATGTGAGAGGGTTTTGTGTTATAATGTCTAAGATAGCTCAAAGCAGACATTAACCGGTTCCCAACACCTTGGAGCTTTAGACTTAGCCTTCTGTAAAGCAG